TGTATAAAACTTTTCATATTTAATGACTATTCATTAAGATATTATTCATCTTTATTATATCTAAATTTTAGTACTAAATCTAAATAAAATATTTATAATAGTTAAAACTCTTAAACTCCCTTCTCTAAGCCTATAGAAGACAAAAATAAAATAAAATAAAATAAAATGTCAAAGCCTCAAAAGCAAGTGTTTTAATTGATAGTACTTTCCAACTCATGGAAGTTTTCAGTCATATTATTTGTTTAAATCAAGTCAATAAGTTAACATTTGGTTTAGGTATATCTATATCACTTCTAAGCATAACTTTATTTAATTTTAATATATACTTGAAATGCCTAGCTAATATTTGTTTTCTTATCACAAATTTTAGATTGATTTTTCATCATATTCTCTAATTTTGAAGATTCTAAAGGAGGGAGAGGTACCAAAATTAAAGAAACACAAATATCATGGGATGCTATTATATTCTCTTTCTTTTTCTTTTTCTTTTTTGTTTTTTTTTTTTTAAATTTTTTATAAAAATAGTGATAACTAATATAGTTTTTTCAAGATATTAAGAGGATAAATCTATATCTATCTATCTATCTATCTATTTATCTATATCTATTTCTATATATTATATAAAATGCTATCCTATGCATTAATTATGGTATTCTATTTGATTTTCTTATCTTGTACTCCCTTTATTTCAAAATAATTGTTGCTTTTTTATTTTTTCCAAATTAAAGATTTAAGAATAATATTTATATTTATCTATAATACCCTTAAAAAAATAAAAGATAAAGAAAAGCTGTTTTTAATTAGATGATTAATTAAAATGAATACATAATAATAGGGTTAAAGGAGGAAAAAAATATTTGTTTAGCTTAAAAAATGAAAAAAATGACAATTAACTTAAAAAAATTAAAGTAAAAAAATGATGATTATTTTGGGACAGAAGGAGTAATCCATACCCAATACTTTAGAGCTTGAATTTCCATGTTGGAAATGTTAAGTTCAAATCTTAGGATGAGTGGGGAGAAGTTTGGGAAGAAGAGAGTTATCTCCTATTGTATGGTATTAAAAAAAATTAATAGCCTAGTTTTACGTGAATTATTGTTTGTTAAGCAAACGATAAAAGTGAGAAAAAAAGAAAAAGGGAGGCCAAAGGTCCAAATATACAAAAACTCTCTAATGAGAATCAATAGACAATAAAATAATGTAGTATTAATTAGGATATACATTTGACAATTTATAA